CTCTTCTTGTTCGAGTGCTAAAAAATGCGTGACATTTCCCGTTTTCTTTCTTTGCTCTAATAAGGCAAGGCGTCGTTGTTCATTGATAAAATTCGTTACGATGACGCGATCACTGCTTTGTAAGCGTCCAACGCCACCACCTATCAATTGTTCTGCTTTAGCATTTCAATAAAATCAGGCGGCAACGGTAGCAGTTCGTCAATCCGGCTGTTAGGCCAGGTGGGTAGTTTTAATAGGGTGTCTTTGAGCCAATCAGCTGGATTCAGACTATTGAGCTGGGCAGTGCCGAGCAAAGTTTGAATGGCTGCCGCGCGTTGACCGGCACGTTCTGAGCCGGTGAATAGCCAGTTCTTTTTGCCAATAGCGATAGGTCGAATGACGTTTTCTACTGGATTGTTGTCAATTGGTAGGTGCCCGGTTTGCGCATAGCGAATCAGGCTAGGCCAGCGTTTCAGGGTGTAGTCTAAAGCTTTTGCGGAACCACCGCCGTTTGCGGTCTGGATGCGGGTTTGCCTCAGCCAATCATGCAATGCTTCCAACTTAGCCAGACTTTTTTCTTTACGTAGTTGCTGTCGTGCTTCGATGGTCAGGTCTTTGCACATCGCTTCAATGGCGTATAAATCACCGATGCGCTGCAACGCCTCAAAAGCCATCGGGCTGTCATTAGCCTTGTGCAAATCAAAGAATTTACGGCGTGCATGTGCCCAACAAGCCAACTCAATACAGGGACTTTCCTGTTTTTCAGAGAACAGTGCTTTGTAACCGCCATAGTCGTCAACCAGCAAATGACCTTGCCAGTTTTCCAGAAAGTTTTGCACATGCCGGCCACTACGCCCGGCTTGATAGTCAAAAACGATGATGTGTGATCCCGGCTCCAGGTCATTACTGCGATAGGCCCATAGATAGGCCTTGCGAGTTTTGCCCTTGCCAGGTTCGAGCTGCGCTACTGGCGTTTCATCGGCATGCAGCGTGTTGCCTTGCAAAAGATGCCATATCAGCCGATCCACCAAAGGTTGCAATGCAACGCCGCTACGACCAACCCACTCTGCCATGGTTGAGCGCGATAACGTGACTTTCTCACGTGCGGCAATCTGTTCAAGGCGATACAGCGGGAGGTGATTCAGGTATTTGCTGGTCAGCACCCAGCTCAACAGTCCGGGTGCTGCCATGCCGCCATCGATGATGGCTGGCGGGATAAGTGCGGCGGTAACCGTTTCACAAGATCGGCAAGCATATTGTGGACGGATGTGGCGGTGGACGAAGAATTTGGCTGGCTCTACATCCAACTGTTCACTCACATCTTCGCCGATTTTAACCAGTTGATGGCCACAGTGATCGCACTGGCAGGATTCTGGTTCATGGCGGTGTTCAATACGCGGTAGGTGATCCGGTAATGGTTGGCGGCCAGCGCGGACACGTGGTGGTTTGGCCGAATAGGCTTCTGTTGATGGATCAAGCTGCTCGATCTCTGTGTTCACCGCTGCCAGATCAGAAAGCAGCGTTTCTTCAAACAGGCTAAGCTGCTTTGATGACAGCGATTCACTTTTCTTTCCGAACTGGATTCGGCGTAAATAAGCCAGTTCCATGGTCAGCGATTGAATGGTGAGTTGCTGAGAACGAACCTCTTTTTGCGATTGCTCAAGCAGCATTTTAACCAAGTCAGTCACCTGTGTTTTGGTGTCCGCATCAAGGTTCAACTGGTCTAATTGAGCAAGCGTTTTCATGGTGATAATTTTACCATAAAACAAGCTGTAATACTGATGAATAAAGGCTTATGGTTGTTTTTCTCAGGCTTGCAAGTGCGCCGGTGGCAACGCCGATAATCTCTGCCAATCAACACCGGCTATCAACCAATTCCATTGTGCTTGTGTCATCGCAAAACAACGTTCATTTAACTTCGGCCAAACAAATTTACCCTGATGTAATCGACGCTGGCACAGCCATACGCCCGTACCATCCCACAGCAACACTTTGATGCGATTATTGGCGCGATTGCAAAACACAAATGCTGATCCTGCACAAGGTGCTTGTTCCAAAGACTGCTGCACCACCATCGACAAACCATCAATACCCCGGCGCATATCAACCGGTTCTACCGCCAGCCAGATCTTCCCTGGATTGACAATCAATCCAGGCATTTCAGTAATTCAGCCAACCATTGGGGTGAGACATCAGCTGGCAGTTCTAATGTGTGTCCTTGCGACCAACGTAAACACAATGAACCGGATGGCGAAGCTTTTGACTCGATCTCGATAGGAATCAAAGTTGGCGCAGCTGTGACTACTTGTTGGGAACGATAAATCCGCAACCAGTTCGAAAATGTTTTGGAATTCAGTTTATGCCGACGACAATAAACAACCTGAGACAGAGCGCTTTTCTGCCAGGCTTCTATATGTTTCTGCTGATGTGTGGGTAATGACATTGACTATCCTCATGTAAAATGTTTGAGGATAGTGGAGTTTATTGAAAATTCTTAGATGGTGGGGTTAGACGCTTACG